ACGATCAATCCTTGAGTGCCAAAAGAGGGGACAGTTAAAAGTACGCTTATGCCATACCTTAGTGTACTATAGGCTAACGCGTGCATAATGCTTTTTCTAATTGACAAAGGTAGAAACGATATGATGTTGTAAAGCAGACATGAGACAGTTCTTAATCGTTGGCATATATATGACGTGTGAGAGTTCCATGAGAGATCACTGTCGAAGTGAAGACCTAAATACTTTACGGAGCTAACATATTCAACTGGTGTACAGCTAGAGCATGAGCAATTGGTGTTGTGGAGAAATAGCTGAGAAGTCAAGCTTACATTTTTTAAAGGGCTATGAAAGCACACCAGCTTCGTTTTTGAAGCGTTTACCCGAAGCTTGTTGGCAAAAAACCAGTCCATTATTTTAGCGACATCGATCTGAAGCATTTCAATTGCGCGCTCGTACACTAGATGTCGAGAAAGTATAAGGGTGTCATCGGCATATTGAAATACTTTAGAAGTTGTGATTGACGTTGAAATATCATTTACGTAGATGTTAAAAAATAATGGAGACAAAATAGAGCCTTGCGGAACTCCGGAAGTTAGGAAAGCGAGGGAGCTGTGTAAATTACCAACTGAAACAACTTGGGTACGATTTATTAGAAAACTTTTTAACAATGCATGAAATGGGCCACGAAAGCCCACTCTGTAGAGCTTGTCTAAGAGGATATTATGGTTTACGGAATCGAACGCCTTGGCAACGTCGATAAAGAGTGCGCACACAAACATGTTATTGTCAAAGGAAGAGTGTAGAATGTCCGAAAATTCTTCAAGAAGATTAATGGTACCACGACCAGTGACGAAACCGTATTGATGTGGCGAAATTATACTATATTTCTCAAGAAACCCAGACATAGCAATAAATATATGTTTCTCCAAGATTTGTGAGATGCAGGACAATATAGAGATAGGCCTATAGGATGAAACATGGTTTGGTACTCCACCCTTAAAGAGTGGAATAACCATGGCCTGCTTTAAGTCGTTTGGAATTTCTCCAGTTTCGAGAAAGTTATTTATTATCACAAGGAGAACATTCTTCAAAGAGTCATAATTTCGGCATAAGTCACGCACTGTTATTCCATCGACACCGGCCGACCTAAAGCGCTTGAAGGCAAATAGGTATGACCGCAGTTCTGACTCTGAGAGAGGTGGAAGAAAAGCGGAATCAGAGATAGAGGAAGTGCCGTCTGCAGGATCGTCATCACTGTCTACCGAGAGTGCGACTGAATTCGCGAAGAACACATTAAAGGCATTAACAGTAGAGGTCAAGTCGGACCCGAAATGTTTTTGTAATGTCTCAGTCGAGTCCTTTTTTTCATGTCCACGAAGCTCATTGACAATCGACCAAGTTTTTCTGGAATCAGCACGTGCGTTTGCAATCCTTTTAGCATAATATTTTCTTTTTGCTGATCGAATAAGGGCATTCACCCTATTTCTTTGTATTTTACATTCTATTTTAAGATTGGCATTGTTGGGGGAGCGCCGAAACTTCTTCCACAATTGTTCTTTCTGCGTTATACTGTTAATAATATCTGAAGTAAGCCAAGGCATTGAGGGTTTACGTTTTTTAACATATATAACGGTCATCGATAACTCCCGAAAATTTCTAATGATGTCCACAAACACTGTGTACAAGTTTGTGCTGTTAACCGAGGATAGGAATTCATTCCAGTTGTATTCTTTAATTAATCGATCAAAAGAGTTTAAGTCAACCCGCTCTAAACGGCACGGACTCTCGAAATTATAACCTTTTTTGGAGGGAAAAACACATTTACATGCGACAAAAAAATGATCTGCAAGCTTTTGTAAAATGACAGCGGAGTGTATGGAAGCATCTGGAGCTCGGACGTTTATATGATCTAGGCAGGATGATACAATATTTTCGTTTAATACTTCTTCACGGGTCGCACTCTGAACGGTAGGTATGATTCCATGCTCTGCAAGTAGTGATAAATAATCACAAACACATTTTTTTGAAGTTTTGAGGGTGTCAATGTTGATATCTCCCACCAGTAGGCTTCAGTAGACAATTCTTCCAAATTTTCCCTCAGCTCCTCTAAAAAGCCAGAGCAGTTAGACGAAGGAGGTCTGTAAAGTGCAAGCAAGCAAACCGTATAGTTAGAATTAGAAACCTTTAGCATCAAGCTCTCTGAGTGTTGAAATTTGACATCAGTTTGAGTTGTTGACCATGAGTTCCTTATAAATACGCCGATTCCTCCTCCTCGAGTAATTGGCCGTGTATAAAAGAAATTTTGAAACCCTAAAATCGTAAACTTTGAGAGATGATTGGCACTGACATTAATTTCTGTTAGCACAATTGCATCAATTTGGTCCCTTATTTGATCAATAACTGTCTTAAATTCATCCCAGTATTTTCGAATACTGCGAATGTTTATGTGTAAGACCATGAAAGAGTCGGTTGAAGAAGGGGAGAACGAACTATTAAACGCGATAAAATCGGGGTACTGTAAAAAACTAGCCATGTTGGTTATGGGATTAGGTCCAGGTCACTTCTCTGTTGAATCCGTACCGGAGAAGCGCCCTCATCTTTTCTGGCAAAAATTCGAGCATTTTTGACCCACACAAATTTGTAACCGCGTTCTTTTCCAAGAGCACGTGCTTGCTAGAAAAGTTCTCTGTTGGTCTGAGTTAAGCTGTCGTTGAAATACAGTCTTTTCGGTGGATTGTCACGAGACAATTGCCTGAGCTTACTACGAGCTTGCATCCATTTGTCTTTAGTGGCTACAGATGTAAACTTGACCAAAATAGGTGGTTTTATAGCTCGTTTGCCTGGTAGCCTGAAGACCGAGACGACATCAGCTGGTTGATGTCCCGGAATTCCTAGCTTGTCTGCTAGCCCCGCCAAGATGGAAGGGAGCGCCTCGTCGGGTTTGACGGTCATTCCATGAATTTCCATATTATGTTGGCGACCGCGTTGGTCAGCGTCGTTCAGCTCGGTTTGGAGGCTTTGGATAGTATGTGCCTGTTCGCAAACCGTGTCCTTCAGAGAAGTCACTTCTGTACGCAGCTCGTTCATGTCGGTCGCATGAGCAGACACCGTGGCGAGGAGGCTATCGTATTTCGTTCCAAGGAAAGAAATGGATGTTTGAACCTCCTCCACCGTCACTTTCATGAGATCTATGGTAGGCTTGAGGAGCAAAAGCTCATTCACCTTTGCGTGAAGCTCGAGAAGTAAATTTACACTAGGCTTCAAAGAAAGTAACGAATCGAGCTTTTCGTTGATGGTCAGGATTTGCGCCGCGAGTGTCGTGGATTCGCAGGACGAGATCGAGTCAGAGCTAGCATCTACCCCTTCTAGATCAGCACGAATGTTCTTAGAATGGCAAACTTTACATCTCCATTTTTCTTTTTTGTCGGGGCTCATGGCAGTAAACGTGGACTCGGCAATGCCTGAGCACATTTTCCCCAGATGATAGTTATGCTCGCAAACTGAGCATGTCATCACTCGACCATCTGGCAAAATGCCTTTTTGGCAAGCGTCGCAAACGAGAGACATAATCGTTGAATTATATGATATTAAAATAGGTAGAAATAATGTAAGTACTGTAAGCACACCTAGGTAAGCTACACCAGCTAAACAGTATATCAAGAGCAGCTTGGCACGGTCACCGAGAAAATGGAACTTCTCAAAGCACTGATGGTCGGTTACCGGCAAGGCGCGTTTGTGGATGTTCGCTGGTTGGTTCAGGGTTGATGTTGAGTCGCAGAAGGTCGCCGAAAGGCTCGGATGAGCATGGGCACCAACTGCTGACTGAATGGTCGATGTACAGTAATGCCGGTGATGAACGGGGCCGCAGTCACGATCTTCGAACCAGTAAATCAGAAGCCACGACTGAATGTCGATCCATGAGCCGGTAAGATGAGGTCGTCTAACTCCCCGTTACACCATTCAGAAGGCGAGTTAAAGGTCATCGGATAAAGATTTTAAATTACAATTCTCAGAGTGGTTAGAACGAGTGCCTGTACATATTCACTTCCACATTCAGACACATACTTTCGGTAAATATTCAAAAACCAATTTAAAATGCGTTGTTCTACCCTGTGCTCTGCTACCCCCAACTTTTGTGGGGTTTGACTACAAAGGGCAACACTGACAAGTTACGCCTATTACAAAAAACGCCACTTAGGATAATCGAAAATGTTCCACGTGACTATCATTCCCTTCCTCTTTTTGAAAAACATAAATTCATTGCTATAATCAATTTGTATGCGCATAGACTGATAGCTAATTATCAATGATCCGTAAGGGAAAATAACGTCATTTCTTTAGATCGTGGCAATCGAGATGGAACCGAGTCTGTATACCGATCATGACATAGGCCCCACTGGCGTATTCCGTTTTCAAGAACAAATTTCGGTATACAAAGATATCGCCGTCAATTACCACTTTTATTAAACGCTCTGTTTTCCCGTGATATTGAAATACACTCTGTTAGTCATCGCTCCGTTCGAGAAGCTTTATAATAAGTAACCACCACTTTTTTGTCTACTGTTGATTTTGAAGTTGAATTCTTGATGTTTTTCTTGTGTTTATCCTTTGTATAGGCATATCATACATGCCCATGTCTGTGTGCGCATAATCGTCCTTTTTTGTCATTGTGTGCCAGTACCGCTCTTACCTTGTACTGGGGCGCTGGGACTCGTCAAGCTGCAGGCCTGCAGCTTTTTTTCCAGCGCCCCTGTCACAAATGTACTGTTTGTGGAAAAATAAACGAATTTGAATTTCATATATTATGCGAATTTTTTTTTTGCAAAAAATCGACAAAGAATTTGTTATATTAAAAAGGCAAATGTGTCTAAAAACGCTCTTAATACAATTACACGTAAAACAGAAGATTCAGACACGCCGTGCCTTGTTTATTGTAACAACCCACCTGAAATTTAAAAAAAAAACACCAAAAAAACGTGTTTCATGCCCGCGTTCTCGGGTGGGTCTTGTTGGTTAGTGCCTTATTTTGTTTTCGCCGTGTCATCAGCGTCTTTTGACAACTCTCCCTCTTTCTTCTCTTCATCTTTACCCTCTTCCCCTTTCTCCTCCTTTTTCTCCTCTTCCTTTTTCTCCTCTTCCTTCTTTTCCTCTTTTCCTGTGTCTTGGTCATTTTGTGTCGTGTTTTCTTTCCCTTGCTTGCTTCCTTCAGTACTCACTTCACTTTCTGTCGTGTTTTCTTTCCCTTGCTCGCTTCCTTCAGTACTCACTTCATTTTCTTTCGGCTTTTCTTTCCCTTGCTCGCTTCCTTCAGTACTCACTTCCCCTGTCCCACCTTTCTCATTGTCTTTTCCTTCATCTTTATCTTGCTTGCCTCCTTCATCATTTTGCCCTGTTTCTGTCTTATTTTTTTTCTCCATGTCCTCCTCTGGAGGGGGGCATTCGTTATTCTTGCACTTGCTCTCCACCGTATCGGTGTACTAAAAAAAATAGGGTAAAATAGACACGTATTGTTGTAATAAAGTTTGAAATTGCACTAGTCGGCGCAAATTCGTAACAGGAGAAAACAACGCAAAAAAGACACGGGACAAAAACAGAAAAGGCACAGACACAGCGCTGACTTGCGACTTCGTTTTCGTTTTCTTCTTCAATGCATAAATGCAATGAAGTCCGAAAAATAAAGACTCATTCACAGCAGTACAATTCTACAGTCAACCGTTGCAAAAATAAAAACAAAATAATAAAAACAAACTGCCGCAGAATATCTGATTAAAAAACTGTAGGAAATAAACCCCAACTTTCACACATATGTTCCCATTCTTAATATAAACTCGAACTCTTCATTACACATCGTAGCTGTCCATGCACTAACACGAACGACAGGACCGTGTACACGAATGTAATATGTCTCATGAATTTTCTGGGGTGTCCTGCCAATATTTCACAGTGTATTAACAGAGCTATACAACCCCATCTATTGGAATGAACTGACAGGTGACACGATGGCGTATTTCTCAAAGACAGAAAATGTTCCCTATCTAGAACATTTATGTACCAACCTGTCTGTCCAGTGTGATCAAGATGCATCAGACTTCCAGTTGGATCTTTTCACCTTATCACCTATTTTACTGTTTTCTAGGACCTGTTTATGTACTTGTTTGTTTGTTTTGATAGTAGGATCCTCACCCATAATCCTAAGCGCAATGAAATAATGGTCTGCCACTTTTTTTGTTTTATTACTCCTGCTGTAAAATATAAATTACACGAACGTGCAATAACATGACCAATGCACGACATTGACACTTTGTTACCCAGGTACTCCTTTCGTGTATAATTATTAATTGAATTTTGAAGCTCATAGCTGCATAATATGTCGAGATATTGGCTTACTCCACATTTGGGTTGGCACATGACATCGATGTTAAAGTCCCCTACTAGTAAGATGTGCTCGTTATTATTAAATCTATTGAGTAGTGTTACAAATTCGTCATATAATAAATTTAATTTTCAGTTGGCTGGTCTATAAACAGCAAATATAGTAAAGGAGAACTCAGCCCTATGTATAGTGATCCCAAGAACTTCTGCGTGATTTAATGACGCTTCAATACGGTCGAATAGCCAACTATTTTTAATGTACACTAGAATCCCACCCCATTTCTGCTTTATATACGTACTGATATTGAATGAAAACCAGCTATCTGAAAAGGTAAAGGCACTTCAGCTTCGATATTTATTTCAGTCAATATTATTACATCAACATCTAACGGGTTCAACAGGTAGACATCTAGTTCACCGCAGTGGTTTTTAGGCTCCTTACGTTAATTTGAATGATGTGTAGAATCTGCTCTTTGTTTCCTATACCCTCTTCAGCTAGAAGCTTTTGGGGGTATCTGTTTCAGTTTTTAAATGAGATACATGTTACCATTTCAATGAATTTTGTTCAAGTCACTTTCACTTTCGATACGTATTGCAGCCTTCACCTTCCTTTGTCCGACGAGAATTTTCCCGCTCTTCATCCAATCATAATTGTAGCCCTGTTCCTTTGCACAATCTTTTGCGTCCCAGAAACGTCGTCTCTGAAGCTTCGTCAGGTTCTCATTAATGTAAATTCGCTCAGCTTTCAAGGCGGTACGTTTGCTGATCCCGATTAGGCGCCCGTTCCCGGCTTGAGCGGTGACCGTGTCGCCGTCGGCGTCGCTGTCGGCGTCGGCGTAACCGCGCGGTGCGTTATGGGTAAATTTCGCGGCTAAATTTCGCGGGAAATACTACGCCAAATATAGCAGAAAATGTTCCCCTAAATGGGAGGCGAGCAGGAGAGGAGTAGGGAGGGTACGGACGAGGAGGAGGGGCATACCCTCCTCTCATCCTCCTCCTTCCACTCCTCCACCACAAGAGCTGCGCTCTCATTCGGAGTTACATGGGATTGTAAACGTCTTCCATTTTTTTCAAATACTGTACTGATTGTTTTAAAGGAAGCCGTGCAATCTACTCTATTCCAACTTGTGCACGTAGCATTGGCCAGTCCAACATTAGATGGAGGGATACTATTCGCAATACATGATAAATGAGTAAAATGTGTTAATTACCATTTCAGATAAGGGTTAGATGGGTTAGGATAAGCAATATGAGTTAGGTCAGCAATATTGACGGCAAGTCCAACTGCTGAGTTCATTTAAGGATTTGAATAAGGGACAACAAACATTGATATGTTCAGAAGTACATTTTTTTCCCACCTGTCTCTTTTGGTTTCGAAAGTGAAAGCAGAAACATCGCCGCGATCAGGAGTAGTCCAGACACGCAGTTGTTTTTGGCACCTAGTCACTTTCTTGGTGACCTTCTATCGGCGCACTTGCGTAGGACTCGCAGCCGACATAGTGATGAGGTTACTGAAGTTACTATGACACGCTTCAAAGTGTCATTATTGGCAGGACCTTCTGCCTTCAGATTCGGTATCAGGCGACAAAAAAAAATAACTGATGAATGTTACGAAACTCTGTTCCTTGTAATCGTGTGACCTCTCTCTGCGCTCGTGTTGCGATTCTGCGGTCAGAGTAGTCGGAGCGGCAGCGCGCGCTGAAGCCTCTGAAGAGATAATTCAACCGGAGAATATTTCTTCCCCGTGCACCCGCCTCCAGATCGCTGCGCACGTGACTCGGAAGACGGGGGAAAGGGGGGGGGGGCGGGGAGTGGAGAGCGGTTGGGAAGCGTCCAAAACTGGAGTCTTTGACAAAAAACAAAAATATCTGACGCGCGCAGGTAAAATTGTTTTGCAGTTCTTCACTCTAGACGCGTCAGAGACCAACTCCCAGATTATTCTACCGAAGTCCAAAAATTGTGGCACGCCCCTTTAAGCTTAAAATTTATAGGTACTTGATATGCTATATTTTCCTCTAACTTTATAATCGACACCGATCAATCGGTGCATATGGGGGAGGGGAAGTTTTTGTTCTCGTGTATTTCAGGTAACCTACTAATAGAATGAGATTTATACGTGTTCAGAGCAGTATACAAACGTTCACTAAAACTCACCATGCACACCACACCATCTGGATAGTGCTTCTCTTCGTAGTAGTAAGAATTTTCGTATGGATGGCAAAAATAATTGCAGGCTACAACAGGTCCTTTCTGTAAGAGAGAAAATAAAAATCAAATATTTCCGAAACGTAGGAAGGGTTCGTATGTGCGAATGCATTGCTCGCACGAATAGGAGCGTAAAAACTACTTCGCAAATATTAAAGCATGGAATACTTTCCAACGTAGCCCCCAAAATTCAAAATGTTGTCCGCCGTCTGTCCGCCAGTCCGTCCTTGCATTTCCCCGTTGAACTTAGTGGGGAAATTGACATCATGTCACCCGACGTCACATGCCCTATACTTTCATTCAGTTTTTGCACTAAATTCACCGATGGAAATCCAATTTAGTGTACCCGCTATAATTAGCAGGAATATTACCGTCACTTTAGATATACATCAATTAAATTCTTCCGCTAAATCTAGCAGCGAATATTGCCGTCGCCTGACCTTTTGCGAGCGTGCGACACCTAAAGGGTTCTCGCTGCTCCACTTTGGCATCTGGTCAGCAGAACCACAAACGAAAGGTTCCCGTTACGTTGCATAGTAAAGAATTGTCCACTTCCCCCTTTTGTATTGTACCCGCGGCGTCTTGGCCGTGTCTGCGCCTCCCTGCGGGGGGTGTGTCTTGATTTTGCTTGGGAGCAGTAGTGTGCCACGTTGCCATTAAAAAACGTATCCATGTCCAGCCTTGCTTTGTTTCTATGTTCTCAGGTCATTCGATCCGCTCAAGTAGCTCAGAGCTCGAATTCAATCCTTTGTCCGGCAGCTGTAAGTAACAACGGCGGCAACACACCGCCATGTTTTACGGCGATAGCTGGCATGGGCTCCTCCAACCACTAGAAATGACGTCTGTTGTCGGTTTCCTAGGGCGTAGGGCGTAGAGCGTTGGCCGAACGGCATAGGGAGTAGTGCGTCCGGCGTCCAGCGTCCGGCGTCAATATTGCCAACAACTTTAAAAAATCACTCGCCGCCCGCGGGACTGAATTTTGTGACCCCTGCATTTGAACGGCGGTGTTCCATGTTACTAATCTACGCCACAGCTTTCACAATCTTCTTCATATTTAAGTATTTGTGGAATATAGATTTGTGTATCATTCGCGGGTAGTGCCCGCTAGATGGCCACAGTTGCTGTTATGTCGCGACAGATGATTCTTCGTCACTCTCAATTAATTCTAAACGTAATCTAAGTTAAGTGTTGAAATTAAACGCTTCGACAAGACGGCGCAATCGCCGCCTCATTAAGGGGGTGCAGCAGTAGGTATCCATTCAATATCACCTACAAGACGGCCCTGCAAGTTCCCTCATCATTAGTGGATCCCTGAGTCGCAAAAAGCGGAAAACGCGCTGAAGCTTGACAAGAGTGTAGGGCACAAAGCGGTAGACGCGTGAGTCTTGGCGTCGCCGCATGCTAGCGTCGGGCTTGTTGTGGGACAGTGACATATGCGCTGGCGGCGACGCTGACGCGTCTCGCCGTTCCTCGCCGGTCGAGGAGTGAGGTGCGTGCTCGTGAAAACCGGGCCAAGCGACTTCACCGTTACATGTGAATGTGCCATCGATTCCCAAGGACTTCGCCCTGACGTGTCGCAGGTTTCATTATAACGGTACTGTGGATTAACACGGGACTGCCTAATGTTTCTATATATGCGCTAGAGTATACGCCACTACGAGAAGCTTGTGTGTTCGACGGCCCGGAAATCACTACAAGACAACATTCGCCAGTGCCAGTTATCGGTAGAGACAACATGTCTTTCTCGCTTCTCTTTTTATCAGATTGTCCTTCGCTCGTTGGCGGTTTGTGTAAAAGTGCCAGGATTAAGATGATCGCTGCTGTTTTCGCCAGCGCATAAAGATGATATGTATACTCAATTTTAAGATCTTGGTCGAAAAACAAAAAACACCTGTTTTGATTTCTTTTTTGGTAAACCCGGGGGATCACAGAATTCTTCGCGCATTCATTATTTCTATTTCTCCGTATGGTTTGCTACGCTTGGTTACGGGGAGCTTTAGGTGGCTTCAGATGCACTCTACACGTAAGACACCGCTTATTTTCCGGGGTTATTAATATGATCGAGAGAAGTTTAAATTTATTCAGGAGTGGAGTGTGCCAGGGACACGCGTTAATGTGACGATTTACATGGGTTCTCTTCCTTTTGTGGATACGCGTAAGTCCTTAAATATTTAGTCATCTTAAATGGCAAGGAACCCTTTGTGGTGACTAAGGTAATTGCGAGGGGAAGAAGTTTATTGCGCCCTTTTCGCTATGTGTTGACTGCTGTCTATAGTTGTGACGTCGTATGCACGCTGAGCTCTCACTGGTACGTTATCATCCACCCTGTGATGCCGTGAGTCCACGGGGAGCTACACTTCGTCATTCGGGAGCCAGCCGCGATCGCCGACGGTCGCCTAACGACAAAATGTTTGCTGGAGCAAGTTTTACCCACCGCCCACAGTCGCCTGCGAACTAAATGAATGCTAGACCGACAATGATTCGTCTCCGACGGTTGCCTGCGAAACAAGTGTGCTGAGCTAATTATGATTCATCGCCGACAGTCGGCACCGGGGTAAGTGGGCTGGACTGAGTACGGCTCACCGGCCACGGTCGCATACGAACTAATCATTCTGAACTAAGTATGACTCGCCGCTATCGGTCGCATGTGAACTAAGTATGCTGAGCTAAATATGACTCGCCGACGACGTTCGCCTGCGGGCCAAGTATGCTGGGCTATGGATCACTCGCCACCGACGGCGGTCCTTGGACCAAGTACGCTATACTAAGTATGCTGAAGTACGTATCTCTCGCCACAGACAGTCGCGTGGTACCGCAGGCTACCTTCTGCCGCGAGTCCTATTTATGGGGAATTCCTCTGGTGGATCTGCAGTGGTTTGGCGGGCGCATTTCCGTTAGTGTATCATTGCGCATGCAAATACGGGCTAGAATTATTGGCTCAAAATGCGCCATAATGCAACGCATCTGGATCGCTCTAAACCGACCATCTAAATTCAACCTTTAGTCCAACTGCATGCGCTTTTTTTCCCATTTTTCCTATAGCGCCGAGCTAGGGCTTCGAACCTAGGATAGCATGGTCAGGGGTGCGATTCCCGCTCAGCACTTTGGTGAATCTCGCTGGCAGCGATTAGTTTGCTTACTGATAGTGTCGCTTGTGGTCATACTGCCTGAGGAAAGAAACATATTTAATGCCCTTTGTTCTTAAACGTTATCTGCCTTGTTCAGAGATTGTTGTCCTCAAATATAACTGGAGTAACCTTCGAGCCAAAAAAGTGAAGAAATTTTGAGTGTAATTTGAGATCATTTACTTGTTTTCAAACACCTATTGTGTACACTGAATTCGGAAAACATACCCGTTTTGCTATGTACCTGATTTTATTAACAAATAAATGTCTCTGTTTCTTTTACTGATATCAAGGAGTAAGCTAAGTATGGCACATAGGCGACTCCTTTAATTTTTTTTCTTCTCCTGAGTAGTTCTCTGCAGTCCCCGTGCTCCTAGTGTCGTGATCTATGCTTAACGATCTGCGAGAGATTTTATGGCAGTTATTTCTACTTGTATTTTTCTTTCCGTGACGTCTTGCGTGTTCTAAGTTGTTCCATCGTTTGAATTGCTATGTGTGACGTTATGGGGCCAAATCCTAAAATCCTTTAAAGATTCGACGGTCCCTTTTATTTAATATACAAATTTGAAAGTGACCATTATTGTTTAAAATATTACGGTTAAGTATGTCTTCTACGTGCTTTGGATGTTGATGCATTGCCTCCTACTTGCTGTGCATGCTTTATGTTACCTTGGCTTACAAGAAGCGCTTTTCCGTCACGCTCGATCATGACACTTTTCCCGAAAAATCCAGCCCATAAACGCATTGTGTGTTCAAATGTTAGCGCCGATTGTAGTCCTAAGCTCTTACACAGTGATGTGTTCGAATAAGGTGACATTGATTAGAAATTATGGTCGGCTGCTACGTACGATGCTTATGCCAAATGCTTCTTCTATTATCCACACTTTCGTCCAAGTGTCTGGTTGCATGCTCCCTATACAGCACTTCGGTCTCCCGATAAATTCACTACGGAAATTGATTTGATGTGTCCTGTATACCAATAACGTTTCCTCGCTATATTTAGGATATTTTAAAATAGGTTCTTCAGTTCCAAACCGAAATGTTACTGTTTTTCAAAGAAATAAAAAAAAAAATAAACTGTAGCGGCAAGGCCCACAGCCATTGCGGCGGCCGCGTTCCTCTCAACCAAGAAGTAATCCGGACCTTGGGACACCGAGCCGAGGGACGCGGTTAGAGGGGCGACACGACGAACACGGGGACGGCAGCACCTCGGGATGGCACAGAAATGGCGAACGCTACAGACGATTCCACCGTGTATTCAGCTACAATGTAAATGAGCCATATATTACTAATTTAGCTAAATGATATATTTGTATAAACCACAAGAAAATTTATAAGAATATCTTTCCTTATATTCTTACCTGTTCTGTACACGTTCCTAAAAAAAGGAAATGAACAAAGGCTGGTTCCCCGTGCCATCTGACTTTTGGAACGCGTTTTCGTTACGAGTTCCATATGTAAAAAAGGAACTTGGTCTCGCTACAGCTAAAAAAAGTTAAACGTATCGTTACATATACGTTACATTTGTATTTCGCTGATTACCATATCTGGTTAGGCTAAGCAAAGTTTTGTTTTTTATCTATCGTTATAAATGGGAACATACGATTTTGAATGCCGTGATAGAAGGCCAACAGGAGAAGAAAGCAAGCGGAAGCAGGGTCTAATTTGTTTATATGTTCAAGTTCACAAATCGTAGCTCTTAACTATATTCATGTTTGCAAGGGACGATTCGGACGAGCCACATGTACTATTATCCCACGTGGCACGAGCGTTTAACAACAACCTCACACGTTTCAATCTAACAATGTCCCTTGTTCGAACGTAACAGCAGTTGCTTCTCCATGTTGCTGTCCGCAAGACGAGCAAGTGAAAAAGATTGTAGGACTTTTGGAAAGTCAGTCTTGAAAACGACAAGTCCGTGAATCGATTCAGTTAGAAGGTGCGTGATAAAGGGAGAATGAATAAAGTTTAATTTTTGTGTATCTTTTGAGTGACCAATGTTCGGGATTCAACGGTGTGTTCGATATGTGGTAACCTGTCATTTTGCAACCGTTGGCCACTTCGTGGAAGTTCAGTAATGGCTGTAGTCGACCTTAGCTTTTTGACTGTATGAGGATTCGTGGAAGTAAAGAAAGTAGCTGAGTTTGAAACCTTCCTCTTTCTGCGTCTTTTCCTTCGACTAAAAGTTTTGCTTTTTGTACCGCAGTCTCGGCACTCAAAAAGGAATCAATGTGCACTAGCTCTCCCGCACCCTACTGTTACCAAACGAGGACCGCACAAAAAAAACCTTAAGATGAGTAACCAAAAAGTTAACGAGATTGTTTTTTATACTTTTAGAATTGACATTATAGAAATAAAATAAAATTACCCACAGGACAAGAAATAGGAACGCCGTTGCTGTTTCTGTTCCAGTAAAAATGTAACGAGTTACCGTTCCAGTTTCACCGAGGCGGAATGGAACGGCGGCGTTCCTTCGTTCCTTCAAAAAGGAACGCATTCCAGGGACACCCTTGCTGGGAACGCCGTTCCGTAAAACACTGATTCTAACTCACTAGTTTCGTACAGTGTTGTCGAAGCCAAGGGCGGAAGGGACAGGAAAACGCTAGTGTGCGAACTTTCTTTGGAGGCTAATCTCAGAAGGGGTGAAAGACGACATGGGCGTTCTGGAAAGACCGTAGAAGGGGAGTTCCTTCTTCCCCTGTTCTCCAACCGCCTGGGTTACGCCCTCGGCCCCGAACATTTAGTAGCGCTACGCGACACTGTATATGCGCCATATAGTATTTAAAAGAAGACGGGCGTTGCCACTTTTTAAAATAATTTCATATACGCACCTCTTTTCGGGCATCCTCATCCCTTTTAGTACAAGATCGGTCTTCTTCCTTGGATTCGTTTTTTGCTGGAGCGCAGTTTACTACCGGGAGTAGGGCTACAAATAATGTAAAAAAAGTTTCTTTAACTTAACTAAATATATTATTTGAAATGAAGGTTCCATGTCTTGATAAACTTCAAAATATCTGAATCTCGGAACCCCTGCGAGTGAATACAAGTGATCATGTCCTCGATATCAGAAGATTTTTACTGCAAGAAAAGGTATGTGATCTTCAATCTCCAAGCTACCGAAGTGGAATATCACTCCAAATAAAAAGGGCAAATGTTGTCTAATTCATATTCCGTGGACCCTTCCTACTTCTCTGCAGATCTTTGCGGATTCAAAATGCCAGCCTCCGCGGAGACTTGGCGAATGACGAGGCTGTGAACGGTTTTTACAAAAATGGTGTATGAGAATATCAGACACCGAGCATTAGGTTCAGGGTACTCATATCATTCTCATTGTGACACTGACAAGATCGCACACGACTTTAGTGTAAAAGTATTAAAGGCTTTTCAAAAATAAATTTTTAGTCTTCCCGATTTTCATTTTCCTACCACAGTGTCCGGTTTATGATGATGTTAAGCATACACCAGATATCCTGTACTCAGACTATTTTTTCGTAAAACCTCATGCTTGCGATGTGACATGGCAGGCCTGATATTTTAGTAACAATTAATTGATATCCTTTGTTATTTCACATGAAATTATATTACACGAGTTTACACTTTTACGCTGACGCAAAAAAGTTTTACACTTTCACACTGATTTGTTTTGGTTAGGCCAATATTTAGGGGCGCGAGACGCGATTTAGTCGGTAGTCATCTCCTTTCCACTTGTTTTCTCTCTCGGTATTTCGTGCGCGAGGAGGAGAGGTGGATCAGCTTCGCCTTCACGCTTCGGTAGAAAGCGCGTAGTACCATGTCGTTGATCGAATGACCATTCCGCGACGTGATGGACTTTGCGCTCAGAATTTCAAATAAATCTCTCGCCGTTAATATTGCTCAAAAATGTTGTTTTTTTCCCGTAAAATGTATTTTTTGATACGCGTGTCCCAAATAGACAATTTAAAAAAATAAGTTTTTTTTTTCTTTTCAGTTGCCCTTTAAGGCGAAACTAATTATAGCAAAAGCGCGGGGGCGAGGTGAATTGAAGTCCTTACCAAATCACGAAAAGTAACATTCTCAGTCACAATGGCACCACACTGTCGTCCGCGTGCCTTTACTCGAGCCAATTTAGCTTTTGAGAGGGAGACGCTGTGGCAGCTGTCGCTCGGTAGGAGTGTTGAGTCCGTTACCGAACTTGAGTAACGAAATAGCGTTGCTACTTAATTCGTCAAACCTTACGTGTTGCCGAGATTTGTAACCGCCCTGCCATTGTAACAATATGCTGTTTTCGCTAGCTCCAAAGAGCAACAACCGTTGCTTTTGTGTTACTTTCGATTTTATGGTTATTTAGAAGCAATAAGCCATGAATACGAACTTCAATCACGATTAAACTGCTACGGAGCGACTCCATAGCGTTTTTTTATATTTCTTAATCATGTTTGTGAAATATACATTTTTGTCAGTCAAATCGGGAACCTAATGACGCAAAGAAAATACATAATATTCGTCCTCTTTGTCGAGGTTAAGAGAACCCCGATTTATTTTGTGTTTGAACTAAAACGAAAACAATATTATTTAAAAGTAACGCGTAACATAATTTGATAAACGATACCGCAAAATAGTCAAAAATTACTTTACACGGTTGTCATTTAAACAACAAACGCGAGCGTTACTGCGATCCTCCAAAAAGTAATGCGTTACCAGTAAAGTCATTACTCGTGACTGCTTGTCTGTTGCTAGGTCATGTCAGCCTACGTTCTTCAAATGAAGCTTTTGGGAGTTTATGTGTCAAATCAAAGGATATCTGGCACGCTCCGGGGAAGGACTAAGAATAAATGTTTTTGGCGTGCAACCCAAAATCTCGGTGACACCGCACCAACTCCGAATAAGCCTCTTTCACATAGGGAAAACCACGACCATTCCCGCCGGCTAACTGGAGATCTGAAGGCAGTAAATTTTCCTCGGAGCTACCAAGGTGGCCTCGTACAATCTCTGAGACTAGATTTTAGCGCTGCGAAAAATAATGTTGACCTGGAACGAGATCAGTTGTTAAGCACAAGGTTGTTATTACAGACAGCTTTAACGCACTTCGTTACAGTTGCAAATTACCTGCTACAACAGCAATAATTGTGAAGGCTTGAATCTTCATGGTGACTTGTGGACGCTCTTTTCGCGCTTTTAGAAACCATGTCCCCGTTCTTGACTTTTATAGTGCGCAAAAATCACAAAAACGCAGTTGTCGATACACAACGCGAAATAGAAAGAATAGAGCATTGCAAGGATATGACATTTCCAGAATATATTTTGTTTCCGACAAAACTTTTCTCTTTAGTTTTCTCTTTCCTCTGTTTACCAAACATAAAGGATGTCATATGTATGGACAATAATGACCTTTACATTTCTGAAGCTCTCTATATTGTTCCTCAGATGTACAGCATGTGTAGGTTCGAAAAAAAACCTTCCATCTACTAAAAAAAAAATACAGTGTTCTTTCGTTCGTTTAGTAGAATATTATTGCTACGACACACATGCCTTTCCACTTTTTGAGCAATAAATATAGTAGAATTCCGTCCTCTCTTCACATGCGCACATGCAAGCGACATTTACTTCTCTCAAAGCCCCCCCCCCCCCCCCCCCCCCCGCCTCCCATAGAAAGCAGCAGACTTTATTTACCCTTTTAAATCCGACCTGCCTACCATTAGTACAGGGGATGACAAACGTGTAGCTTTAAATATGAGGATAAACTTGGGCATACCGACACTTATTAACCCGCTTGGCCATTTCCAATCGTCCAAATCCTTAATCATACCTCATACTTGTACTCGTCCCCCATTGAAATGGTCAACACGTTCAAGACATTGGGCGTGTTGTTTTCAAACAACATATCTTGGACAGCGCACTTAGATTACGTTACTTCAAAAACCTTGCTTGTATAATTGGTTTGATACATCGACACCGTCTAATTTTTCCATCAAGTGTTAAACTACTTCTGTATAACATTCTATTTGTATTTCATTTGAATTATTGTCATTTGGTATGGGGTACCACTACTAAAACAAATTTACATAGAATATTCATCCTGCAAAAGAGAGCGTTAAGACTCGTGTGTGACGTGCCTTATCTTATTCACACGGACCAAATTTTTGAAAAACTCGGGGTACTTAAAATAAATCAACAATATGAATACAGGCTTATCATGAAGTATAAACAAGAATATTCTGTGATAGATAGCTTCCTGCTAAGCTTGGCATCCCTTAGGAAAAGACAGCTTACACATTCTACTCGCCACTCAGATTTCTGGATGGTTGATACATCGCGTACAGATTACGGTCTTCAGATGATTAGAAATACACTTCCAACGTTACTAAACACTTACCTGAATTCGAATGTTGATATAGTGTCTTCTAGCCCGCGTGAGCTACGTGGCTATCTACTTTTTATTTAAATATGTTGTTTATCAGTTGTCTAGTCTTAATGCGAATTTTTTTTTTTTGTGAAGTTGACGGCTTGTTAGTCATCTTCTTTTTGTTTTACCATAACAGCGTTTTGCGGTTGTTTCTGTTTATTTTGCTGTTGCTTTTTTCTTGCTTGTATGTAACTTGGCCCCGCGGTGTACCTGTTGAGGGGGCTGGAGACCCGTCAAGCTGCTTTGCCAGCTTTTTTCTCCAGCTCCTACCATGTGTGATATGGTGAATAAAGTTATTATATTATACCTCTGTCAGTACATTTTAGTGCGCACCTAAGGAGTTCTTTCAGGGTGAGAAAACCGAAATCTAACAAACGACACGAAACAAGAAGCGCCCTGACACAGTGCTGACGGTCAACAGAAGGTCCATTTCCCAAGGAACCAAAAAAAGTAAAAAGAACGGAGGGAAAAAGTGTATAGGTTTCAACTTTCCTCTAAGGTTAGGCAGAAACCAACATCCAGACAGGTGGTGGTGCCTTATATTCACGCTCTTTACCACCAAATCAACCACAACCCCATGGGTGCCACATAGAGACCTCTAGGACCCCACACAAATTTTTTGTGGGTGCTCTGTGGGCATTTGAACCAGGGATGCAGTACTGAAAACTGCATGGTCGCGAGCCCTCGTATTCGAGCTTTGGTCGAGCGCGTGGTCACACACTCATATTGCTCCCGTTTCTTATTAGGCTCATGCTTTTTCTTTTCAGTAACGAGTAATTAAAGTAATCCATTACAAATATTTTGTAACTAAAGAGCATTACAAAATACTGCGGTAAAAAAGTAACGAGGCGATTACAAATTTACTTGAAAAAGTAAAGGGCTACTTCCCAAATCTGTCTGGTTCGAGCCTCTAGCGCCACATTTCGGCGGAGAACAGGCGTTCGGCGATCCGTAGTTTATTTGTGTGGTGAGAAAAACCGTGTAATTTTTTGGGGAGACACCCTGTACTTTACAGCAACGCCCACAAAAGGCGATTCCTTACGATGTACTGACTTGCGCAATTACTATTAGTATTGATATTGCGTGTAGAGTACAGCTGCTCTGAGTTCCTAAGCACGTGAACGATAGTATCCCGGTGCAGGTCGAGTAGTATTTACACGGGAGAGATATACCGGAGATTTCTCCCGATGGCGCTCATCACGTGTCAAAAACATCATGCTTTTGCAAAGTAGTGAGCTGTGACATCAGCTCTGCTGCGAGGGGGTGCAAGGATGCGCGGAATTGCATAAACAATCCGGGATTAGCGGCACATCGGTTGTCCTTAAAAGACTTGGTGTCAGGAGGAGAGACCACTATATTTTTATACTATAAGTGAATGCCCATCAACTCGACCAATAGATCAATCTGCAATGTTGCAACCTGCATTCATTTATAAGGAGTCGCTATTTTCCAGCTGCGTTTTATTTTAAATCAATTTATTTCAGGGAAATTAAATCACTTTCATTTAAAGGAAATAAATCTGATTTTCTAAATTTGTTCTTAAAACCATGATTATTAGTCACACTGACAACGAGCCCTTGTGAAAACGATGCACGTGATTATATTAAAACTAAACAAACCGAATATGGTGAACACGTGGCGAAACGGCGATGGACAAAAAACGCAATAAACAGGTACCGCGATGCCATCTCCAAACTGCGTTTTTGCTTCGCACATCTGTATCGCATTTCGCAATACAGTTTCCTATTCGCATTTATATTGCCGGGTCGAAAAATGTTTCCATTTGCATCTCAGACATAAGGGTACACACAATGCGTGGTCGATGAATTTTGTAACATGTCCAAGCGTTTGTTTCTCCTCTCCCTCAACCGTGAAAGCAACATCTAATTACCGAGGTCCGTCCAGGGCAGTAGAAGAGTAGACAATGCATTCGCGGATCCAAAGCCTGACAGCTAAGAAACTGAGTTAAGGGAACAAAGGAATCCTCCATGGTCTACGTCGTAAGGTTTGAAAGCTTCGCGGAAAGATTTTTCAAAGTGAAGTACAGAACAAACACTGTCACCTTTTAAAAGGTTATTGGGAACGTTCTCCAAAAACAACATGGACAGCAAGCCGGAAAATATAAAAGGTCGTGAGCCAGAAGGTAGTCGTCAAAACCATTCCTTTCTTTTGGTGCCAAAAGCTATAACAAAATATCTGTTTACTTTGAAACAGAAACAAATACTATAAACTTTTGGGACAAAATTGAGCTTCGATTTTGTCACGAATTAAACGTTTGTAAAAAGTAAACCTGAAAAAAATTTTAAATTAGGTAAATTTGTGCGTGCCACTACACCGAAAATGAAGCAGTGTCATCGGTGCCTCGCTCCAGTCCACGTCGAAACGTGGTTGCAGTTAATTGAGCACTCTACTGGAAATGGAGAGGTCCCTGGATCGATTCTACGACCAGGCGGATGATTTTTTAGCCCGCGCCCGTCACCTAAGTGTGTTTCGAGATTTATGTTTGTCCTTTGTCCCCCTTGTTCCCCTTCACCGGGGATCATTATAGATTATTTCTGTTCATTTCACCTCCACGAGCATATTAATTGGGTTAACATGGCATTTCGACGTTGTTCTTGTTTTCATTATGAAGGTCATGTTCCGGTAATTTAATTTAGACGAACCTTATCCCTCCCTTAGTCTTATTTGTAGCAGAACGAGCCCACCTCGTTTCTCTGTCCCGACCCAAACACTGTTCTCTCGAGACGCTTTGTGTGATGACAACCTCTTGCCTGTGGATGCCTTGCACGAAAAGGCTCCTGCGGGGACTGCCGAAAGGAATACTATCGCATCTATTATCGCGTTTAAAAATGCGATTGCATTTAAAAGAGCGCTAGGCATCCTGCGACGACGACGCCAATGTAACCAACTATACTCCGTTTTAAAAGAGCTCTGACACCCCACAGGTCCTTTGTTTTTTTTTTTGTTTTTTTTTGCTATTGTCTAAAACGATGCAAGTTGTTGTCATACACACGCAAAAAAATAGCGCAACGCGAAACAAATATTGCCTTACGCGCGTGCGCTCGCCTTTTGATTTTTGGCGCTTTTCTCTCCCGCTCCTCACCTTTTCGCTTCTTTCGACTTGTGACGTCAAATATCCTGAAATTTAGAAGTTGGTAGGCAACCATCCTACAACATTTACTAACGGCAATCGTAAAACATGTTTTTTAACGCAATTGCGAACGGACTACGGCCTTTATTTTTGAAATACCGAAAATCGGAGTCCGAAGTGATGTCGCATCCTGGCTTTTTATCCTCGCTCGGAAAGCATGGCGGCGATCGCCTGTAGCGGAGGACGATCGGTGAGTCGAGGAATCGGACAAAGTGGTCTTTCTTAGGTGGCCGACGACCTCTCAGACTCCAAAAAGGAAATCGTAAAACGGTCTAAACAACTGGGTTTGGTGTCTGCGTTTCGCAATTTCGGTTGTGAGACCGCCGGGGCAGCCTTTCACGCAGAACCGGTAAAATGTCAAGCGCCGTCTGCTCGCAGCGAGAGGCGGCACGGTACGCACGGAGGAAACCGGCTGTTCCCGGTACGCCGGCGAAGCGACGCTTCGGGTCGCGGCGGCAACGGCGATTGGGAGCGGAGGCGTTAAAGATACTCGACTCGCAAGACAGCTCAATATTCGACGTCACTGCGCTGGCGCGCATGGCGCGGAAACTTCAAATTCGGAATTCGGAAATTGTTTTTTTACTTCACAAATACTGAATTT